CAACCTAGTCCGACGGGCCTGGTCTTCTGACACCTGGTCAGCCTCAGCGGCCTTCCCCGCAAAGTGATCAGCAGGCGTATTCAAATAAAACTCAGTCTCACTCATACACACATGTTAAAAGCCTGAGCCTGGGTGCATGAAGGGACCGCACCGAACCGAGAACCGAGAACCGTGACCGAACCGGACCGAACCGGTCCAAAACCACGAACGTAGAAAACCGAACCGGACCGAACCGAATTCATTCAGAACCGAACCGGCGAGGACCGAACCGAACCAGAACCAGAACCGAACCGGAACCGGGCGGCCCCTGAACCGAACCGACGGGAACCGAACCGAACCCCTCTGGCGGGCTGCGACCCCCCTGGCGGGCTGCGATCCCCCTGGCGGGCGCGACCCCCCTCGCGGGCTGTGACCCCCCTGGCGGGTGCGACCCCCCCCGCGGGTGCGACCCCCCTCGCGGGTGCGACCCCCCTGGCGGGCGCGACCCCCCTCGCGGGTGCACCCCCCCTGGCGGGCGCAACCCCCCTGGCGGGCGCACCTCCTCTGGCGGGTTGCAAACCCCCCTGGCGGTCGCAACCCCCCTGCGGGTCAACCCCTGAGCGGGTGCACCCCCCTGGCGGTCGCAACCCCCATGGCGGGGTGCAACCCCCCTGGCGGTGCAAAACCCCCCTGGCGGGTGCAACCCCCCTGGGGGGGGGGGGCGGGCGCACCCCCCTGGGGGTGCAACCCCCCTGGCGGGTGCAACCCCCCTGGGCGGTGCCCCCCCTGCGGGTGCAACCCCCCTGGCGGCGCGCAACCCCCCTGGCGGGCGCAACCCCCCTGGCGGGTGCAACCCCCCTGGCGGGCGCAACCCCCCTGGCGGGCGCAACCCCCCTGGCGGGTGCAACCCCCCTGGCGGGCGCAACCCCCCTGGCGGGTGCAACCCCCCTGGCGGGCGCAACCCCCCTGGCGCAACCCCCCTGGCGGGTGCAACCCCCCTGGCGGGCGCAACCCCCCCTGGCGGGTGCAACCCCCCTGGCGGGTGCAACCCCCCTGGCGGGCGCAACCCCCTGGCGGGCGCAACCCCCCTGGCGGGTGCAACCCCCCTGGCGGGTGCAACCCCCCCTGGCGGGTGCAACCCCCCTGGCGGGCGCAACCCCCCTGGCGGGCGCAACCCCCCTGGCGGGTGCAACCCCCCTGGCGGGCGCGACCCCCCTGGCGGGCGCGACCCCCGTGGCGGGCGCGACCCCCCTGGCGGGCGCGACCCCCCTGGCGGGCGCGACCCCCCTGGCGGGCGCGACCCCCCTGGCGGGCGCAACCCCCCTGGCGGGCTGCGACCCCCCTGGCGGGCGCAACCCCCTGGCGGGCTGCGACCCCCCTGGAGGGTGCAACCCCCCTGGCGGGTGCAACCCCCCTGGCGGGCTGCGACCCCCCTGGCGGGCGCGACCCCCTGGCGGGCTGCGACCGCGACCCCCCTGGCGGGCGCGACCCCCCTGGCGGGCTGCGACCCCCCTCGGGGCTGCGACCCCGCTCGGGGCGCGACCCCCGTCGGGGCACGTCGCTGGAGGGCCTCGCGCCTCCACGCCTCCACGTTTCTCCTCCTCCTCCTCCTCCTCCTTCTCCTCCTCGTCGTCCTCCTCCTCCCTCCTCCGCCTCCGCCTCCGCCTCCTCCTCCTCCTCCTCCTCCTCCTCCTCCCTTTTTTTCAAACTGGGTCGTCGCTTACGCAGACGGGGCGCCCAACGTCGCACCTGACCAGTCGGGCCGAACCGAACCGGAGCGGCCACTCGAACCGAACCGAACCGGTCGGACCCAACCGCGCGAAAACCGGAACCGAACCGAACCGGCGGCAGGCCCAAGCCGAACCGGCCGAAACCGGACCGATGCCAAACCGAACCGGCCAAGCAAAACCGACCCGGCTGCAGAACCGGACCGAACCGAACCGAGCCGATCCCTTCATGAAAAAGGATCCAATCATGTCGCCACTCATCACAACCTTAGGGTCTAGCTTGGAGACAGGTTTCCACCAACGCTTCCTGCGGAAAATGTACGAGACCGTCGACTCACCGCCCTGTCGAGACAATGGTCCGTAAGGTCTGTGCCCCACCAGGAACAGGATCTTGGCTTCCTGAGCCTCCATGGGGAAGAGTGAAGTACGAATCGCCAGCACAAGCTGATCGATTCCCTTCGATGCCAGAAGCGTGTCTTTACAGAGATCCATGGCAATATCGAACGCGTCGCCTCTGAAGCCATCTACAACCTTGTTGGCATCAAACGTGAAAACGTTATTATGGGGTTTTCCCGTCTCGGAGTCTACGGAGGCCAAGGCGGCACACATGCGCATCTCCGCGCGGAAATCCCATTCGTGGAAGTTGTTCACCGTGCCATCGTAGATGTAAGAGCCACTCTTCGTCTCTGATCTCGTCAACGCGTCGGCGTTCGACCGATAGCGAAGAGAAGACAGCGCCATGGCGGCAAGGCAAGGCAGGGCACAGCCCCTTGGTTAACGCGATTGCTCTCTGGAGAGACAAGCACGCAGCGGCACGAAGCGGGGATCGTGTTGCAGCTCCGATACCAGTGCGAACATGAGACTTTTTAACGCAATGGCAAAAGTGCCCCTAGAGGTCAAACGGCAGCGAGTGGCGCGCTGTCACATGCGACACACGCTCTACATCACAATTTGTGTGTGTGCGTTCCCCTCCTGGACGATGTTGGATGAAAAGATGCAAGGTGCGTCCACGGAAGAGCCCCGTTTGGAATACGGACCGCCCTCCATCCGTACAGCTGTTGCGCAGGCTTCAACCGAGAACCCGATACTTGAATGGAACTGTTGCACATGCCAACAGAAAGGATGGCAGTGAAATCCCACCAGCCCGTTGGGCGAAGGTGGTCTAACAATGGCTTTCTATCCTCTTCCGAAACCGTATTCCCGTCGGGGAGGGATGCCCTCCCTTCCCCTCCCTGAGGTTTTTGGGGGCGGGCAGCGATCACTCGATGGTCCAAGAAGGCCTCCGATGCTCCAAGATGGCCTCCCAGGCGGCTCGAGACAACCGAAGATGGTTCAATATAGTTTCGCACATACCTCCAACAGGCCCGACGATGGCCACGAGACGGCCTCAGGCAATCGTGGAGCCCCTCAGGACCCGCACAAAAGGCCAAAATCCTTGAAGCACCTCAGGAAAATAATATAATGTGTGCCGTCTCGCCTTTTCGCAGTCGATGTGCTATTGAGGACTCAGGATTGCCCCAAGGTGGCCCAAGACAGCCCGAAGACGGGCCCAAGAGAACCCCCAGACGGCCCCAAGAGCGCCCCGGAGCGCCCCAAGAGGGCCCCAAGAGAGCCCCAAGAGTCGATGTTGATGGCCCCAGAGGGGGGAGACAAATCGCCCCCCCCTCCTTTGATTGCCGCCCTACACTATGGCAGGCCCTCGAGGGCTCCCGAGAGGGCCCAACGAGGGCCTCTAAAAAGAGCCCCAAGGGGGCGTCACGAGGGCCCCGAGACGGCCCCGAGAGCGACCAAAAGCGCCTCAAGAGCGTCCCACGAGGGCCCAAAAGGATGTGTGCCTCTCTCATGGAGGCCCTGCACTTTGTGGGCCCCGGAAACGGCAGGGCCGTTTTTTTTACCGTTTCCAAAAAAATGTCCCTCGAAAATGGAAACGGCAAAAAAACGGCGACCAAAAACGGCAAAAAACTGGTCAAGGATTGAAGCCGGAGCCGGAACCGGTCAAAAAACGGCGACGGAACCGGTAAAAAAACAGCGTCGGAACCGACCAAAAAACGGCAAAACGGAACCGGTAAAAAAACGGCCCTGTCGTTTCCAGGGCCAACTAGGGCCCTGCACGGCCACCCTGTTGCTCCCAGCGATCTCTCTGTTCATCCTGCTTGCCCGCTTCGTGTCACTGTGTGTCTCTCTTCGTCCCGTCTTCCCGGCAGCTCGCACGGGCACGGTTTCTGAACGGGCTGGCGGGGATACGCGAAGCGTGAGGCGTGAAAGATCTGGAACTGTCTTGCGCGAGATCCCGAGTTGGAACAGGCGGCGCCATGCATCTGTGTACGAAGCAAGCGCTCGGTACAGAACGCGTACGGCATTCGGGCGAGGGCCACAGTTCAAAGAGAGGGCCGCCATCCACCGGGTGCACCTGGGGGCAACGCGAAGCGCTGCAGACAAGAGCGCGCAGCGCTGCGGCGAGACCCGCCCGACCGACACGTCTGGCGGCACAGCGGGGAGGACTTGACCGTACAGGGCGGTTTTTAATACATGATTAATGTATGAATAAATTTATGCATGAAACCATCGTTGTTGTTAGTACGAAGTCCGTGCATTTTGATACATGATCCGCACGCGGAGCATGTATTAAAAACGGCACTGTAAGGACAAAGACGCTGAGGGTGAGAGAGGCAAAGGGGAGAAAAGTGGGAGCCGAGGGAGGAACCACGACGGAGATTCCGGGATTCTGGGATGCTGGGTTGGCCTCGCGCGCGCGCCCTCAAAAGGGGCACGAGGTGCAGGCAGAAGAAATTAAGCACGGCAGATGCCGCTCGCGCGGGGGCGGGCGCGGGGAGGCGCCTCTGGCGCGGGATCACGAAGGAGGGGGAAGGGGGAGGTGCAGGAGGAAGAGGTGGGAGCAGTGCGGGGACGCGGAGGAGAATGGGACGTCCCAAACTCGTCTGGCGATGGATGGCCGGGCAAGGGCCAGAAACCTCGCCGGGTCGTGTGGCGGCAGGCGGTTTTTGGACGCCCGAGTCCTCACCAGACAGTTCGCTCAACGACTTCTGCCGTCCTTCGACTGGAGCCGCCGCGAGTTGCTCCAACTTTCCCTGGAGTTCTCTGGATTTACCTGGAATTACCCGGATGTATCTCGATTTACCTGGATTTACCTGGATTGACCTGGATGTACCTGGATATCTGCACTTACTTGGATTCATCTGGCTCGATCCCCACAAGTCGATTGGCGAAACGTCGACAAGCCCTTAGGGACAAAGCAAAGGAAAGAGCGACTCTGCCCCCTCTTCCCTCCCAGGCCTTGGGGCCGAAGCTGTGTATGATCGGCCCCGACAGCAGCGTGGCCACCAGCCCGCCGAGGGCGAGGCCGAACCACACGTACGTCATCAGGCTGGGGCCGTGCTGTGGAGCCTGCCGATCCGGAGGGAAGCTATCATTCTCTGCCTACCACACACATACACACACTAGCCTTCTCTCTGTCTCCCTCTCTCCCTCGCTTTCTCTCACTTTCTGTCTCTCTCGTGCTCTCTCTCTCTCTCTCTCTCCCTCATTCTCTCTCTCTCTCTCTCTCTTTCTGTCCTCTTTCTCTCTCTCTCTCTCTCTCTCTATCTCTCCCCCTTGCCAAGGTCACTGCCCTCGTGGAGACGAGGGGGGCAAAGTGGAGGGCGAGGCAGGAAGGGAGGGTGGAGGTGAAGCAGCAGCGGCAGGAGAGGCGGCAAGATCCCTCCTGGACGTGGCCCCGGCCACCGCTGGCCCAGCGCAGCACAGACCGCCAGGAATCCGCCGACCCCGTCGGCGTGTGGAAGAGGCTGCCCCGTTGGACTCGCCTTCGTCGCGACGTCGCCGCCGTCGGCGCCCGTCGCCGCTCCCACATCTCCCTGGGCGCGTCGCCGCGGCCCCTCTCCCCGGCCCTCCCTTCTTGCCGGGCCCTCCTCCTCGAGCGCGCCAGCCAGAACGAGATTGAGCAGCGTCGCAGCTGTGTCGAAGGAAGCCCCTGCCCTTTTGATACGTTCCTTCCCAGGGGGGGGGATCCCCGGGGGTCGCAGAGGGGGTCCTGGGTCAGAACATCACCCCCTCCTGGGGGGCGGCGGGGCCAAGCATGTCCCCAGACGAGCCAAGAGTGCCCCAAGAGGCTCCCAAGACGATCCAAGAGGACCCGGAGTCGCCGAACGATCGGTCCAAGACGTCTTTACGGCCTCCAGACGGCCCCAGAGGACTGGAAGGTGCCCCAAGAGGCCTCAAAGAGCACTCCCACGAGAGCCCCCAAGAGGCAAAGTGCATTGCTTCTCCAATAAATTGTTCAAGGACTCGGGCGTTCTCGCCTTGTCCGCTTCCAGAAGCTCCAAAACGGCCCAAGAGGCTCCAACGATCGCCCCAGGAGGCCTCCAAGCGGTTCCCGCAACGGGCCAAACGGGGCCCGAACACGGGCCGAGAGGCCTGCAAGACGGCCCAGGAGGCCCCCAAGAAGGCTCCACGAGGGTACCCAGACAGGGGAACCGGACGGACATTTCGAGCCCTCGGCCCCAGGGGGCTCCCAGGAGGCCCCAAGCCCCCAAGAGGCCCCCACGAGGCTCCAAGAGGAGCCCAAAAAGGCGCCGAGGAAGCCCCAAGAGGCCCCCAAGATGCTTCCAAGAGGCCTCCAAAATGCTCCCAAGGGGCTCTCAAAACTGCCCGCAGAGACCCCAAACATAATTCCTGAGGACTCTGACCCACGTCAGCGTCGTCGTCGTCGTCGTCGTCGTCGTCGTCGTCGTCGTCGTCGTCGTCGTCGTCCCCCTTCAAAATTGGCGGCACCGGCCGTAAGGCCTTCACAGTAAGAGCACGGAAAATGGTCACCTGACCACTTTGTACTATTCTGGGATATTCCTCATGTAGAGAGGCATGCCCGATTTAACAATAGAGGTGGCATGCCGTGGCTTTGTAATCGACGCCATCTCAGTTGTAACGTCGTCTTACACATGCAACAGCAGTCTTGTAAATGTCAATGCGTATGGCCTCTGCGTTCTATGCAAGTCACTCCCATTTTCTTTTTGGCCGTCTGACTCTTCTGGGCAGCGTGGAGACCCTTTCGGGCCGTCTGGGGGCCCTCGTCGACCGTCCAGGAAGGGCCTTTTAGGCCGTCTTTGAAGAGTGTGCCGTCTGGGGCCCTCTCGGATCTCTCTGAGCCCCTCTGGGGGACCTCCTGAGGCCTTATTAGGGTTCTCTTGGGAGCCTTTTGGGGCCCCCAGGGGCCTCGGGGAACGCCCTGTCGAGCCGTCTTGAAGGGATTGGGCCGTCCCGGGCCCCCTCGGGCCCCCCTGGCGCCCTGTTGGGAACCTCATGTGGCCCTTTTGGGGCTTTCTTGGGAACCTTTTGGGGCCCTCAAGGGCTTCTCCTGAGCCGCCGTGGAGTTCTCCGAAGCCGTCTTGGAGCCCCCTCGGGCGGGCTCCGCAGCAGCAGCGCTGCGACACGCCGTCTCATTGGGAACCGCACGGAGACAAAGTCGGGGGGCGAGAGCGAGACGCTGAACATCGGCGCCTGCCGCCCCCTTACGACTTGAGCAAGTACGTCGACGGAAAACGTCGATGCGGCGACCCCTCGGAACATCAGGCGCGTTACTTACGCTTGTTAACAGCGACCATATATATATACACATATATATAAATATATCAGAGTGAGGGGGCCGAACGGTCATTCACTGTCCCTGGGTGCGTGGCTGAAGTGGAATTCCGCGGTGCGGATTCTCGTTGTTGTTGTTGTTGTTGTTGTTGTTGTTGTTGTTGTTGTTGTTGTTGTTGTTGTTGTTGTTGTTGTTGTGTGTTGTTGTTGTTGTTGTTGTTGTTGTTGTTGTTGTTGTTGTTGTTGTTGTTGTTGTTGTTGTTGTTGTTGTTGTTGTTGTTGTTGTTGTTGTTGTTGTTGTTGTTGTTGTTGTTGTTGTTGTTGTTGTTGTTGTTGTTGTTGTTGTTGTTGTTGTTGTTGTTGTTGTTGTTGTTGTTGTTGTTGTTGTTGTTGTTGTTGTTGTTGTTGTTGTTGTTGTTGTCGTCGTCCCACCCGCAACCCGCCCCGCGACCCACCCGCGACCACCCGCGACCCACCCCGCGACCCACCCGCGACCCACCCGCGACCCACCCCGCGACCCACCCGCGACCCACCCGCGACCCACCCGCGACCCACCCCGCGACCCACCCCGCGACCCACCCCGCGACCCACCCCGCGACCCACCCCGCGACCCACCCCGCGACCCGCGGCCCACCCCGCGACCCACCCGCGACCCACCCGCGACCCACCCGCGACCCACCCGCGACCACCCCGCGACCCACCCGCGGCCCAAACCACGTTCAAGGTACAAACCACAATTTTCGGCGCCTGCGGCGGGCTTTTTCTGCATTCCTTCCAGGTGGAGAGCCCGCGACCCACCCCGTGACCAACTCGCGACCAAAGGGTACAAACCACATGTTTCGGCGCCTGCGGCGGGCATCTTTTGCATTCGTTTCAGGTGGAGAGCCCGCGGCCCACCCGCGACCACGTTCAGGGTACAAACCACATTGTTCGGCGCCTGCGGCGGGCATCTTTTGCATTCGTTCCCGGTGGAGAACCCGCGGCCCACCCGCGACCCAAACCACGTTCAGTGTACAAACCATTTTTTGGGGCGCCTGCGGCGGGCTGCTTTTGCATTCCTTCCAGGTGGAGGTGGAGAGCCCGCGACCCACCCGCGACCAAACCACGTTCACTGAACAAACCAATGCCGCACAAGCGCGGCGGCAGATTTTTGCATGCCGTCTGAGCCCGCAAGGACCTCTTCAAGCCCCGCGCATCCACACCAGCCCGTCCAGCAACTTTGCCCTGGCGAGTTGCCTTGATCAGAGAAGGCGGGGAGCATAAAGTGGAAAAAAGGATTGCGTTGCAGTTATCTTGGGAAAGGAGGGGGAGGCAGGAGGAGTAAACAGGGGACGAGGAGAACGCGGAAGAAGAGAGGATGTAAGGAGAATGTGGAGAAAGAAAAGGAGGAGGAGCAGGAGGACGAGGAGGGGGAGGAGGGGGAGGAGGGGGAGGAGGAGGACGAGGAGGGGGAGGATGGGGGAGGATGATGATGATGGACGACAATGGGAGGACGATGATGGAGGCCGATGAGGGGGGAGGACGACAATGGGAGGACGATGATGAAAGGACGAGGGGGGGAGAGGGAGGAGAGGAAAAAGAGGAGGAGGAGGACGAGGTGGAGGAGGAGGATGACGATGGATGAGGACGAGGAGGACGAGGAGGAGGAGGAGGAGGAGGAGGAGGAGGAGGAGGAGGAGGAGGAGGAGGAGGAGGAGGAGGAGAGCGCCATCGACAAGGAAGGTGGGGGCCACGAGGTCCGCCGGCTCGACGACGCCCGCGTCGCCCGCGCCCGCCCCCTCACTCTTATCCGCAATTGCGGGGTGCTACGTATATATATATATATATATATATATATATATATATATATATATATATGTATACACATATGTGTGTAATTATGTATTGTGTAGAGGTGTGTGTGTGTGTGCGCGTGTAGATACACATGCATATATGCTGATGTACGCACATGTAAACACGAAAGCCCATGCCCTGGTGGGGGGGAGAGGCAGTTCGCCCAAGCTCACAAACCCTCCATCTCCAAGCTGTGCAACGTGTCCAGACACGGTCAGTCAGAATGGGAGGCGGTAACAGAAAGCGAGCACGATATTGACACGTGTGCATGAACAGCAGGGGGGCTAAACGTAGAGGGAGAACACAAGAGCCTAGGGACGCTGAAGCTCCATGACGACCTGGAAGCCGAAGCGGACGTCTCGAGAGCTAGAGACGGCCACACCGAACTGCTGACTATCTCATTCCGAATTCAACACTACCAGCCTGGAACATATCCCTATCCCTATGCTGGGCACCTCCTCATCACGATGCCAATCTTAGGGATTCCCTTATCTTTCGAGGGCGAATCCCTGAGATTGTCATCGCCTTTTGGCGTGTCAATCTTAGGGATAGGGATACGTTCGAGGCTGGTAACAGCAAGCGCTTCCTGACAGTGGGCCAGCGTGGGGCAAGAGCTCGGCGTGGTGCGCTCCCGCCACTGTAGCGCGAAGCTGCACCCAGCCCACGCGATCGCACGGGCCCGAAACCTGTGCCGCAGACCTCCCACTGGCCATCGCTCGGACGTCCGTTCCCTGTGCTTTTTCCGGTCTCGTGCGTGGCTTTTTCGCCAACTCATCAAGGATGCTCCTCGATGGTCCTCGCCGAAGGAAAAAGGCACGCGTCCGAGCGATGCCGAGGCCATTGTGACGCGAAGTTGCACCCAGCCCACGCGATCGCACGAGCCCGAAACCTGTGACGCAGACCTCCCAAGACCCCATCCACCCAGAGTCATTGCTCTTGGGGTTTAGGGATCAACCCCCTCCTCCTCCTCCTCCTCCTCCTCCTCCTCCTCCTCCTCCTCCTCCTCCTCCTCCCTCCTCCTCCTCCTCCTCCCTCCTCCTCCTCCTCCTCCTCCTCCTCCTCCTCCTCCTCCTCCTCCTCCTCCTCCTCCTCCTCCTCCTCCTCCTCCTCCTCCTCCTATGCTTAGCACGCTTGCCGTTTCACCCAATTGTCTAGTATGTCTCACATCTTCTGCCAACGCACCTATGTTGTGCATGGCGTCTGTCTGTCTGTCTGTCTGGATCAACCCCCCTCGCTCCCCCCTGTCCAGGGGGGAAGGAGTCTGTGCGCGCAGGCGTGCCGGGCGTTCCAGCGATGGGCCGAGGCTCGGAGTGCGGCGCGGAGCCGGGGCGCAGAGGCATTTTGAGCACCGAAACGCTGCAAACAGGAGCCGGAGCCGAACCCTCAAGCATTTTGAACACGAAAACGCCGCAGACATCGATTTGAGCACGGAAACGCCGCAAACGGCATGTTTGAGCACCGAAACGCCGCGGCTATCCGTCAACTAAATCACTCCCCACGGCCGATCGCTGCGCTCGTGCGTCGCCGCCGGCCTGCTGCATCTTCTCGGCGTACTTGGCCTCGGACAGGAGGTCGCAGGTGGACAGCTGCAGGCTCTTCAGGAACATGCAGGCCACCAGGGCGTTCACGGGTAGGCTGCTCTGGGGCATCCTCAGGGCAGCTCCAAGCTCCCTGCCGCACGCAGAGGAGTGGACTATCCTCTGGCCATCGCTCGGACGTCCATTCCCTGTGTTTTTTTCGGTTTCGTGCGTGGCTTTTTCGCCACATGATCAAGGATGCTCCTCACGTCCGAGCGATGCCAAGTCCTCCTTCAGTCATCGTGCCAGCAACGGAGTGCTGAATCAGAAACGAAGCAACTGTTCGGGTCACGGCGAGCCTCGGCCACGAATAGGTTTGCCGGCCCAGACCTAAGGGACGGCCCAACAGAAACTTCTTGCGTCGGCGGCGAGTCAGAAGTGCTGCTCCAGCGAGCTGCGATCCGGGGCAACCGTTATGCGAAATGGCCGGCGACCCAACCCAACACAAACATAGCGCTTCCGGAACCAAGAGTGGTCCTTCACTCGACGTCTTGACTGCACCTTACCTCCAGTCCTTACCTAACCCCCGCCCTGCCCACCCATCTGCCCCCGCCCCCATCACACCTCCTTCCCTCCATCCTGCTTTGGACACCCGAAATGGGTACTGTCCCGAACCAACAGCGGCCGCTGTTGGGCGGGCGGCCTTCTGTCTCGAATGGACACAAGGCCGCGGCGGCGTGGACAGCGAATCCTGTTCAGAATGAACGGGAACTGCTGTTGGGCATCGTTCCCATTCTTTCCGTGCCCATCTCGGGCGTCCAGACCTGCCCTCTCATCCCCTCCACTCTCCCCAAAAGATGCGGCAGCTGCGGCCGCCTCTCGCTGGGGCCTGCACCTGACCGCCCCCCGGTTTTACTTTTGCCACGCGCACGGAGGCGCCAACGCGGGCGACCCAGGACAGCGAGCCTGACCGGATGCTCGGCGGCGTCGAGCACACTTTGCTCTGGAGAGCACGCCAGAGACGAGGCTGCTCGGTTTTCCCAGCCTGGAACAAATTCCCTATCCCTATGCTGGGCACCTCCTCATCAAGATGCCAATCTTAGGGATTCCCTTATTTTTTGAGGGCGAATCCCTAAGATTGTCATCGCCTTTTGGCGTGTCAATCTTAGGGATAGGGATGCGTTCGAGGCTGGTGACGGTTCTCTCGATCGGATCTGTAAGCTTCCCAGCGGTCCATCCCAGCGTTGCGAACGCTATGCCGCCAGCGAGCGACGTCAGCACAATGTAAGGCGCTTTGTTGTAGCCACCTATGGGCATCACGTCGCTGAGGAGGCCGATGATCGGCTTCATTGACCACGGCAACTGAGACACGCTGCCGTAGATCTGAATCTGCGGCCCAGGCAAATGGTACGATCTGTACAGGAAGGGCGTGGCCTTTATGGACAGACTCGCGACGAAACCCTTGAGAAGGTGCTGAACGAAGAACAGCATAACCTGGTCGGCAGTCCTCCCACGCCCTCCTCCAAACGCCCGCAATCAACAGAACTGCGATGAAGCCGCTACACCTTCTCCTGCCCTTACTCCACATTATACTCCTGCTCCTCCACCTTTTCCGCCTCCCGACGTCATGAATCGCCACGATGATGAGTGATGAACAAATGAGCTGCCAAACGCAACGCTTCCCCCGCGCCCGGCTGCTTCCGTTTCCGAGAAAACGTGTGGTAGCCAGCTCCCCTGCACCTCAGAAGAGTCATCTAGGCACACGAGCCGCCTGGGTGTCGGCACCACTTCGGCCGAGTGGCAGTGCGGGACCTTTCCTGAAAGCCTCGAAGGGAATGTCGGAGGCCGCTTGGCAGCTTTTTCATTCACAAGTTGCCAGCTTCCTCGCTGAGGGAAATGGGACTCCACCATGCGATGCACAAGCCAAGGAAAGGGGACTCCACCATGCGATGCACCGCTTGGCAGCTCTTCATGCCGCGCTCAGAAATTCCAACATCCTATCGGGGAGATGCTCCCGAGACGGTCCTGGTGCCTGCTCGGCATGTTCCCTCCCACGAGCCCCTAGGGTCCCCCACGCGGCGAACTTGTGAGATACATAATTCAGCACCTCTTTCAAGAGATGCCAGCACGCCTTTGACCCAGTGGGCCAGCGAATCGAGTACTGTATGAAACACCCTCAGGGTGCCCCCGATTACGAAAATGCCCCGGTGCTTCTTGACGCCTACGGGGTGCGTCGCGGGGTCTTGCCCCACGGCTGACGAAGCTCTCTTGGAAACCCAGACTTCCAATATGGTGTAAGATGGTCCTGGAGGACTGTGGTGGACTCGTCTTGGACGTGTCATGGCCAGTCTGGGAGGCCCTCGGGGCTGACACAAGAGGTCAAATGATTTGGAAGGCGAAGGTTCCTGCAGGATCACAGTATTCTCGGCACCTCGGTCTCCAGAGGGTCCAAGACGGCCCAAGAGACTCTCAAGATCCCCCGAAGGCGGCCCTCGAGGCTCACAAGAGAGCCCAAAAGCCCCGGAAGACGGCATCAATAGGGTCCGCAAAAGCGCGCCACCGCCGCGGCACTGCAAGCCATAGCCCCGAGAAGGCCCCGAAGCCCCAAACAGACCCCCAAGGGGCCCCAAAGAAGACCCCAAGAGGCCTCTACGAGGTCCCCGAGAGCCCGCTAGGAAGTCCCCGTGAGACATCCGAGAGGCCCCCTAAGAGGCCCTCCAGAAGCTCCCCAGCGGCCCGCGACGAGCATCCCAAGAGACCCCCTCGGAGACCTACACAACCCCTTGCCTGCGACCCAATCACGGTGGCGGGATTTTGGACGCCCGAAATGGGTACGGAAAAAATGGGTACAATGCCCAACAACAAAAGTTGTCCCAAACCAACAGCGGCCGCTGTTGGGCAGGCGGCCTTCTATCTCGAATGGACATAGGCCGCGGCGGCGTGGACAGCGAATCCTGTTCAAAATGAACAGGAAGTGCTGTTGGGCATTGTGCCCATTCTTTCCGTACCCATTTCGGGCGTCCAAAAGGATGGGCTGGAGGCCCCTAGACCTGGCCCGGCACAGAAACGGAAAGAGCGCTGCAGCAACAGAAACCGAAATTACTCACACCACCGTTCGTGCTGGGAGCCTTGGCGGCGTTGAGAGCTTGTTACGTCACCCCTCGGTCTTAGGAGCCTTGGTGTTCAGAGATGGTTGCGTTGCCGCCCGTTCCTGAGCCTTGGCTGGGCCTTGGTGTCAAGAACTTGTTACGTCACCGCTCTCTGCTGGGAGCCTTGGTCTTATCAGCTTGTGTACGTCACCGTTCGCTCTTGGGAGCCTTGGTGTGAAGAGCTTTTTGCGTTACCGATCGCTCTTGGCGTCTCTGGGCCTTCGTGGGAGTCCTATTGGGGCTCTTTTCAGGCCCTCCTGGGGGCCTATCGGGGGCCTCCTGGAGGCCTCTTGGGGCTTCTTGGGGGTCTGTGGGGGCCTCCTGGGAGCGTCTCGGGGCGAAAGGCTAGACTTTCGGGTTCGTGGTCCCCCTCTTGGGGCCTCTTGAGGCCTCTTGGGAACCTCTTGGGGGCCTCTTGGGGCTTCTTGGGGGGCTCTGGGGGCCTCCTGGGAGCTTCTTGGGGCGAAAGGCTAGACTTTTCGGTTCGTGGTCCCCCTCTTGGGGCCGTCTTGGGGCCCTCTTGGGCCGTCTTGGGCGCCTCTTGGGCCGTCTTGGCGCCCTCTTGGGCCGTTCTGGGGGCCTCTTGGGAGCCTCTTGGGCCGTCTTGGGGCGGTCTTGGGGGCCTCTTGGACCGTCGTCTACGCCGTGATAGCTGAAAAGCCGTGTACGCTAAAACTGCACGCTGTCCCGTAGGAAATCAATGATTTTCGCCTCCCGGTGGCCTCTTGGGACGCCTCTTGGGGGCCTCTTGGGGATTCTTGGGGGGCTCTGGGGGCCTCCTGGGAGCGTCTTGGGCCGGCTAGACTTTCGGTTCGTGGTCCCCCTCTTGGGGCCGTCTTGGCGCCCTCTTGGGCCGTCTTGAGCGCCTCTTGGGCCGTCTTGGCGCCCTCTTGGGCCGTTTTGGGGGCCTCTTGGGAGCCTCTTGGGCCGTCTTGGGGCGGTCTTGGGGGCCTCTTGGGCCGTCGTCAACGCCGTGAAAGCCGACAAAGCGCATATGATAAGAATATACGCTTTCCTCTGGAAAATCTATGATTTCGGCCTCTTGGGGCCCTCTTGGGACGCCCCTGGGGCGCCTCTTGGGGGCCTCTTGGGGGCCTCTTGGGCCGTCTTGGGCGGTCTTGGGCTCTCTTGGAGCGCTCTAGGGCCGTCTTGGGGGGGAACCCGAAAAACATGCAAAAACCCGATAGAAAACCCGAAAACGGCCATTAACACGCAGGTCCGCACGCTTCGCCCCTCCCCTGGAACCCTTCCCTTTAGGGCTTCGCCCACACCAAAACGTCATCACTCGTACCTCGCTCTTTCCGTTACCTGGGCCAGCACAGAACCGGAAAGAGCGCTTCAGAAACAGAAACCGAAATTACTCACACCACCGTTCGTACTGGGAGCCTTGGCGTTGAGAGCTTGTTACGTCACCCGTCGCTCTTGGGAGCCTTGGTGTTCAGAGATTGTTGCGTTGCCGCCCGTTCCTGAGCCTTGGCTGGGCCTTGGTATCAGGAACTTGTTACGTCACCGCTCTCTGCTGGGAGCCTTGGTCTGATCAGCTTGTTTACGTCAGCGTTCGCTCTTGGGAGCCTTGTGTGAAGAGCTTTTTGCGTTACCGATCGCTCTTTGTTTGGCGTCTCTGGGCCTTCTTGGGAGTCCTGTTGGGGCCTGTTGGAACCCTTTGGGGGGCCTCTTGGGGGCCTCTTGGGGGCCTCTCGGGGATTCTTTGGGGGTTCTTAGGGCCTCCTGGGAGCTTCTTGGAGCGACGGTTCGTGGTCCCCCTCTTGGGGCAGTCTTGGCGCCCTCTTGGGACGTCTTGAGCGCCTCTTGGGCCGTGTTGGGGGCCTCTTGGGCCGTCTGGCGCCCTCTTGGGCCGCTTTGGGGGCCTCTTGGGAGCCTCTTGGGCCGTCTTGGGGCGGTCGTTGGGGCCTCTTGGACCGTCTTCAACGCCGCGAAAGCCGAAAAGCCGTAGATGCTAAACATGTACGTTTTCCCATAGGAAATCGAGCGTCTTGGGGCGAAAAGCTAGACTGTTCGGTTCGTAGTCCCCCTCTTGGGGCCGTCTTGGGGCACTCGTGGGCCGTCTTGGGCGCCTCTTGGGCCGTCTGGGGGCCCTCTTGGGCCGTTCTAGGGGCATCTTGGGAGCCGCTTGGGCCGTCTTGGGGCGGTCTTGGGGGCCTCTTGGGCCGTCGTCAACGCCGTGAAAGCCGAAAAAGCCGCAGATGGAAAATCAATGATTTCGGCCTCTTGGGGCCCTCTTGGGACGCCCCTGGGGCGCCTCTTGGGGGCCTCTTGGGGGCCTCTTGGGCCGTCTCGGGCGGTCTTGGGCTCTCTTGGAACGCTCCGTCTTGGGGGGGAACCCGAAAAACATGCAACAACCCGATGGAAAACCCGAAAACGGCTATTACCAACCCTGCGTCTCCGCCTCGCCCCTCCCCTGGAACCCCTCCCTTAAGGGCTTCGCCCCACACTAGAACGTCATCACTCGTATCTCGCTCTTTCCGTTACTGCTTGGCACGAGGACGGAAAGCGCAATTTACCTTGTGACGGCGCGGGATCGATGGCGTGTCCCTTCTTTTTCCTCTTACATCCTCTCTTCCCCTAGCCCTTGTCGCATCCTTGGGGAGTCTTGGGGCCGTCTTGGGAGACTCTCGGGCTGTCATAGGGACCTCTTGGGCCGTCTTGAGGCCTTCAGGGCAAATCCAAGTGGATGTTAGAAACATCCTTTGAAACGTGCGACGTTGGAGGTGGGCCACTTATCGAATGATGACCATGTAAGCATCGCTCTTTTCGTCAAACTCGCAGGCGCTCTTGGTCCCGTTGGATCGAACGGACATCCGCCTGGTCGTTTTAACCCGCCGGGCCATTTTAACCCGCTTGGCCGTTTTAAACCGCCTCGCCGTTGTAACCCGCCTGGCCGTTCTGCCGTTCTAGCACGGCTCGCCATTGGAACCCACCTGGCCGTGTCTGGCCGCTTCAACTCGATAACACGCGCACCCGCTTTAAACTGCCTGATCGTTTAACCCGCCTGTCCGTTTTAACCTGCATGGTTGTTTGACCCCGCTTTGCCGTTTTAACCCGCATGGCCGTTCCAACGCGCCTGAGCGGTTCAACCTTTTAGACCCGACTATCGGTTCAAACCGAATAGCAATTTCGACCGTGTGAGGGTGTTCATCGGCATGGCAATGTGGATCCGCCTGGCCGCGCTGGCATCCTTGCCCGTGTAAACCTGCCTGGCCGCTTTCACCTGCCTGGCAGTTTTGCCTGGCCGTTTCAACCCGCCTGGCCGTTTTGACCCGCCTGGCTGTTTTAAATCGCTTGGCCGTGTTCACTCGCCTGGCCGTTTTAACCCGCCTTGTAGCTTCAACCCGAATGGCCGATTACACCATCCTGGCCAGTTCAGCCTGTCTGGCTGTTCTAACCCACCCGGTCGTTTCAACCCGCCTGGACGCTGTAACCCGCCTGGCCGTTCTAGCCCGCCTGGCCGTCTCAACCCGCCTGGCCGTTTCAACCCGCCTGGCTAGCTCACTCGCTTTCGCCTGCCTCACCGTTGTAGCGCGCCTGGGCAGAAGCACCGACGAGGGCCGCCGCGCCCAGGACACGAGCAGGCTCTCTGGGCGCCGGGGGCACGAGGTGGGGGAACAAAAAGTGGCATAAACATAAAAACTCTGAGGTCCGCGCGGATTTCTCGGATCGGCGCTGGACTCCCCCCCTGGCGCGCGGAGCGCGCCAGGGGCGGCGCCGGAGGCGCCGCCAGGGGAGTCCAGCGAGGATCCGAGAAATCCGCGCGGACCTCAGAGTTGTTATGTTTATGCCACTTTTTGTTCCCCTACCTCGTGCCCCGCGGTCCTCAAGGGTAGCACGGCTGCCGCCGGGACACGAGCAGGGTCAGTGGCGGTGGATGGTGCGGCGGCCCCAGGGCCGCGCGGCGCCCGAGGCTGAGAGGTCTGCCGCGGACAGGGGCAGGATCCAGCGGTGGGGAGAAGGCGGGAGACCGAGGCTCCGCGGCCCTCGACGGCACGCTCGGTGCTGAACAAAGTGCGAGGGAAAGCTGTTCTTCCCCAACTCCTCCTCCTTCATCGTTCTCTCCCACGTGCTCCCCGAGGAAAATCCACAGCAGCTGCGGGAACTCATGGTCAAATAGC